ACCAAAATATACTTTCTGGTTTTCAAGTTGAACCATTAAAAATCATTGTCATGGGGTCAGTAGGAACAGGCAAATTTTATCTGATTAGAGCAATTAGAAGACAACTTTGTAGAATAGCAGAGATTACATCTGAACCACCTGACTTGTACTTGTCCAACAGGAGTTCTGCATATAATATTAATAGTGTAACTATTTATTCAACACTTTTTATTCCAATGCAAATTAGAAATAATATTGATTTGAAAAGTAAATAGCTAGAATTATCTTTGTTAATATAACAAAGTCAGTGTAGCCTATGTAGTTGCTTTGGCATTTGAAGCAAAGTTCAATAAAATATATTAGACCCCAAAGTAATCATTTTAACATTAAAAAATAAAAAGAAAAAAAATAATTAAATATATATAATATTTATTAAGTTAAACTAAATAATTTATTTTTTCATTATTTTATAATTTACAAGATTAGATAAAGTACTACTAATGCCCTATATTTTCATTTATTAATTATTGTAGTTTTGTTTATATACATTTAAATTATTTATTTCTACCATCAGTTATTATAAAAATTATTTACAAAATTAGGTTATTTATAACATATAGAGTGTGGTTAAGGTTGAGTTAGTTTTCATTAAAATTATCACAAATTTCATGAATTCTATTGTAAGTTACTGTATATAAATTTGGTATAAAACTTACTTGTTATCTTATAATATCAGGATATGCTTAAGGAATAAGATAGTTAACTGTTTGTTATTTATATTACTATAATAAAATTAGCTATAAAGGAGCAACAAGCTAGGAAATGTAGAGAAAATTACTAAGTTATTATAAACAACTATAACATATTCATTTTCCTCTTCAATTACAAATTTACCAAAAAAAATAATATATCTCTAGGTAAGAATTCTAAATAAGTTTTATTGTATAGATAAAAATATTTTCATCTAACAAATTAAAAAACATCTTTATCAGATTGATATTTTACTAGGCCTTGTGTATGAGAAGTTCTCTTTTCCTTTGCAACAATCAGAATAATTAGAGAAACATGCAAAGACATTTTGGTTAAGAGTTATAATAATAAAAAATAATTTTAAATTTATGTTATAGTTAAAAAATAAAATCAGTATATATTTTTCATGATTTCATAAACTTGAAATACTTCTTGTTAACTTATTTACCAAGTAAATAATATGTGTTATTACCACAACATACTTATATATAATGAAACATGCTACAAATTGAAATCAAAAATCAATTTACATAATTGGCACCATGATAAATAATCACATATGAGATTTCAGTCAGTACAATATAAAAACTAGCAAATAACTGTTGTAACTTGTTGTAACCTGTTGTAACAAAGAATATGATCTGCTTCATAACATGACAAAGAACATGGCCAAGAATATGTAATCTGAACCTCTATACCTAGAACTTTTAATGTTTAATAATTGTTATATGAGATAGAATTTAATAAATATTATTTCAGATTTATCTCAAGATATTGAATAAAATAAATAAAGCTTATAATCATGTAAATAAGCATTATTGATATAAATTTTGATAGTAGAATATTAGTTTTTGGACCAAATCTTTGTCTTCATTGAGTAGTTTCATTGCTTTCTGTTTTATTATGTTTTGATTATAAAGTTGTAGTGTTCTAGAAATGCATGCTATATTGTGTGTTTATTTACTAAATTACAAATCTAATTGCTATTTAAATTACAGACACTTATTGTTTAAACTATAAATTATCTACTATTGAAATTGTGATCCACTTATTGCTAAAATTACAAACTCTACTCACCGACTGTTAAAATAATATACTCAGCTATTGTTAAACTAAATGTGAATTTAAAATTATAAACAAACCTATTATTAAGATCACTAACTTATTTACTATTAAAATTATGAACCCACCAATTCAATTAAAAATATTACTTACCTACTATCAAAGTTGTGATTACTATTACTAATCAACTACTATTATACTTACAAACCTATCTATAAATATATATTGATAAAGTCACAAATCTATATAAAATCTATTTATTATACTAATAGCTTAGTTTATCAATAATCAATATACCAATAGTTAAGGTTAGTATAATATATAAAAAAAACTTGTTAGTAAAATGAGTCATCTGTAAAATAAAATTAACTTGCCAGTAAATTATCTGTTAGTAATTAGTAAAATAATATGGATCTATCTATATTACTTAATATGTTTTCAAAATTGAAAAGCATGTCAACAAAGTGATAGGTCAATCATTATTGTAAAATCAAATGACTCTATTGAATGACATATTTAATTTGTTATTTATTTTTATAAGTTTTTGTGTATAGTTCATATTGTTTTTTGTTAGATGCAGATATTTTTTTGATTAATATTGTAATTGTATATAATTGTAGAAAATGTGAGTTATATTAATAGGCAAGATTGTTTTCTAAAAATATTTAAGAGCTTAGTAGAGATTGTAATCTTTCTTTTTGCTTTTGTTTACTTTGTAATGAAGATGGCTTTATTGTCTCACTACATCCATCCTTCTCTTGATGATTTATTAACTAAAAACTCTGCAAGAGCCTTAAGTTTGGCAATTAGATATTATAGCTTTGATATTAATACAAGTTTTTTATATTTTTAATTAGGTTTTGTGAATACAGAGGACTAAATGTTGGCAATTAAGCCTTATGGCTATACTAGTAGTGTAAGAACCTCATATTGATAATTGGGCATTGCAGCTGTGATAGCAATGCAAAATCTTGTTTTTGTAATTAATTTTTGTAGTTGCAATAATATTGCAAAAATCTCATATTAGAATTTAGATACAATAGTAGTAAGTTTCATAATTGCTGCTATAATAGCAAAAGCTAATGTTTGATGATTTAATTTTTATAGTTGTAATAGCAATACAAGGATCTCATACTAGAGATTCTGCTTTATAGCTACAATAGTAGTGCAAAGCTCATATTTGCAATTAGCTATGATTGCATTGCAAAAATCTTATATTAAATAATTAAACCTTGTTATTATGATATTAATGCAATGATTTTTGAGATTAAACACTATGGTTCAATAATATTGCAAGTCTTGTATTTAATAATTAGGCTCTGCAAATGATAATAGCACAAGAACTTCTTGTATATTAATTAGGTTCTATAGCTGTAATAGTATTGCTATAACTCCATATTGTGGTTAGGCTTTATGGCTATAGTGGTAGTGTATTGACCTTATTTCGTAGCTATAAAAGCAGTGCAAGAACCTTTTATTAATAATTAGTTCTGCAGCTGTAATAGTGATATAAGTATTTTATATTGTAATTAGGCTTAATACAAATACAAAAATCTTATATGAGGTTTAGGCTCTATAACTGAATTTCAAATTTGGTTATTAGACAAGAACCTTATAATGTTGTTTAAGCTCTGTAGCTATAGTAATAGTACAAAAACCTCATATATAATGATTAGGTTTTATTGTTATATTAGTAGTGCAAGTACTCCTATGATTAAGTATAGCAGCTACAGCAGTAGCTCAATAACCTTATATTTTTATATTGAGATTAAGCTTATAGCTGAAGTTACATATTGATTACATTCTATAATAATAGTACAAAAACCACATAATTAGGCTCTGTGGCTGTGATATCAATATAAAAACCTCTTGCTATAATTAAATTTCTCTGAAACAGTAATAATACAAGGATCCCATATTTGAGATTAAGTTCTGTAGCTATAAAATCAGTACAAAAACCTCGTAAGCTCTACAGCTTCAATAGCAGTACAGAGACCTTATATTGTGATTATGCTCCATAGCTATAATAGTAGTGCAAAGGCCTCATATTTGTGGCTTAATAGCAGTGCAAGAATATTATATTATATTTTATCTCTGTGATTGTAATAGCAGCACAAGTGTTTTATGTTGTAATTAGGCTCTGAGACTCTGATAGTAGTATATAAACCTCATATTGTGATGTAGTTCTACAGCTACAGTGGTGGTGCAAGAATCTTATATAATAATTATGCTCCATTGCTGCAATAAAAGTGCAAGAACCTCATATTATGTTAAGGCTTTGCAATAGCAGTACAAGAATCTAATGTTATAATTAAGCACTGCAACTACAATACCAATGCATAGGTCTCAAATTATAATTAGGCTTTGTAGTTGCAGTAGTAGTACAAAGATCTCATATTTGATAATTAAGCTCCACAACTGCAATTGTAGTGCAAGGACTTAATATTATATTTAGACTCCATGGTTGTAATAGCTGTGCAAAACCTTATATTGTGATTAGGCTCTACAGCTGCAGTAGCAATGCAGGAACTTCAAATTGTGATTAGGCTTTATAGCTAATTAGTAGTGCAAGAACCTCATATTTGATGATTAAACTGTGGTTGCAATATCTGTACAAAGACTTTATATTATATTTAGGCTCTACAGCTGCAATAGCAGTACAATGATTTCATTTTGTAGTTAGGCCCTATGATTGCAAAAGCAGTACAAAACCTATAGATAAGTGATAATATTCATATTACTATATAATGCTAATTAACTGATTTTATGTGATCTACTTGGTTGCATTTCTCTATGTAAAGATGCAATAGATTATAAGAAGTATTTCTATATTCTTACAAGAACACTATACTATTTCTGTTTCAGATTAAAAGAAGAGAAAGCATTTGCATTCTACAAAACAATGACTTTCCTAAGTTTTTCTGATAATTACTTTGGACCAAAAGAAGCAAAGTTATTAGAAAATATATTCATGAATCTTTTCAATGATAATTTTAGATTTTTGTAGCTCTGTTAATAACAAATTCAAAAAGTAAAAAGAAGTCTTAATGTTTAATATAAAATATATCGAACAAAACTCAGTAATTCAGTAATGATGATAGCCATTTCTGTTTGTTGAGCTAGCTACACACAATACATTAGAACATTTTAATTGGTTGATAGTGTGACAAACAGCTGTTTAGTTAAAATTGCTTATTTCTTAAAAATTGCACATAAAACTACTCTTTGCACACTAACAAACATTTTCCTTAAGTAATTTTACTACATACTTTTATAACTTCTATCCACAATAAAAGCCCAAAACTTAACTAAAAAAACTTTGAAAAATTTTGACTGCATCATAAAACTGACACATATTCAAATATTGCATCAAAACTTACCAATGATGAAAACCAGTGGTTCACTTAACAACTGTAGCCTAAATAATTTCTTAAATATATTGAACAAAATTTGGTAATCTATC